GGGGGGGGCCGCAACCCCCCCCCCCCCCCTTTAAAAGATACATCAAAAGCTGATGTTTCGGAGGGGTGCATGGTCATGGTGACAGACTTTGAACTGCCCATTAGGTCGATCGCAAAGCGAACACTGGCAGATTGCGATCAGCTCACTAACCTGAGCTCCCTCCCGCGGTGCTAGTGCGGTTCAATGTGTCAGACGACGCAGACGGGAAGGGGCGGGACACCTTCTCCCCGTGTGCAACGTCGGCCACACGAGCACCGCGGGAGGACAGGACGCCGGCTCAAGAGAGGAGAACTGGGAAGCTGCTGCAGTGGAGGTAAGAAAAGACAGACAGGAGAGATAGCAGAAGAGAAACAGGGGCGAGAGCGAGGAGAGACAGCCAAGAGAGAGGGCCGGTTCACACCACGAAGTCTGCGTTCCAGAGTGTTCGGCCTCTGGAGCGCAAGCCGGCTGGCTCTCTGCGTTCAGGGGTGGGGTGTTGGTGCATTGAAGTCAATGGCACCGCAGCCACGTCCACCACCCGCAGTACCATCGCCCGCACCCGGAACGCAGGCACATTAGTGCCTGCGTTCCAGTGCGATCTGCAAAAATAGTGCTTGCAGCATTTTTGCAGATTGCACTGGACCGGAGCGCATGCACTAAGGTGCCTGTGTTCCGGTTGAGGGCGATCGTGCTGCAAATGGGGGGCGTGGCTGCCGTGCTGTTGACTTCAACTCCCCCCTCCCTGAACGCAGGTGTTTTTTCATTGGTAGATCTCATCGAGTTCGTCATTTGAATAGTAGATCTCCAGACAAAAAATTGTGGCCGCCCCTGTTCCAATACATCAGCAGGAGACTGAAATCTATATAGAGAGGGGGAGGGGGGCTAATGTATAGAGAGGGTGGCAATATATATAGAGGGGGCAATGTGGCATGACTCCCAGAGGCAGAAGCATGATGGGATTTGTAGTTTCAGCACAGCTGGAGAGCCAAGATTGCCTACCCCTGCTGTAGTCCATCACGGGAGCGAGCTCGGGACGGCATCTACTTTCCAACCCAAAGCTTTTGGGCCGAACAGAAAAAACCCAAAAACCAACAGATTCCTCTACCCATGTGAAACAGCGTGACGGAGGACCCCTCTGCTGTGACCCCACCTCCACCATTTGGCCCCAGCCAAGCCATGTTTGGTTTTGCCAGATTGAACGGTCACAGAGATTGGCAGGGTGAATGGCTCTGTGAACGGTGTTGGGCTCTTAGGTGATGACCGGGAAGCCGAATCATAAGTGTCGGAAGGATCTGGGTGCCAGTGCAGGCTCAACCTTTGCGCCCGTGCCCAAAACAAGCAAGCCAATTTTCAGCAGCCAACAAGCTCTGTCCCGCCCGGAATTGGTCCCGCCAGTCCGTACAGGGAAAAGCTGCAGCTTGCAAAGGGGAACACTGCAAAGTTCATCTCCTAGAGGACCATTCGGCATCACTCCCATGCACACAGGTTACAGATCTGTAATAGGACCGCAGCCGATCATTGCTAAAAACGAGGGGCGCCAAGCGCGATCGCCGTCACTGACCCGTGTCATGCATGGGCTGTATATAAATAACGTGATATGGAAATTGCAGATCCTATAAAATCATCACCACATAATATGAAGAAAAATGTAAACATTTATGTGGAGGGTCCACAAAGCTCGCGGCCCTCCCATACCGTGGTCAGGCCGCTCCCCCGCCCCCCCTGAATTTGAGGAAGAGGTATAAAAAGGAACGTTGCAAGAACAGCGCTTGTAATGGTTTGTTTTTTTCCCGTGGCAAAGGCATAGCCAATCAAAGTGCTCGGTTATGGGCATCTCGGGGTTGCTCGCACAGGAAGTGAGGGATGGTAGGGATCTCCGGATCCTTGCGCTGCAGCAGTGGCAGATGGAAGGGCCTGACGTTGCAGCTAATCAGACATCCGTCATCTCATCTTCCAGCTCGGCGTCGTCCGTCTCTTCCAGTTCGGCGTCCTCGTCTTCCTCCTCCGATGTGACGTCTGCGTCCTCCGACTGAGACAGGCACTTCGCACAGGCGCAGATGAACAGGTAGTTCTCCCTGGAGAAAGGAGGGGCCAATATCACCATGTTATATACAACACTGAACCATTCCCACCAGTCTCTGTACAGAGGAGCTTACACTCTAATGTCCCCCCCCACAGTCACATCAGTCTCTGTACAGAGGAGCTTACACTCTAATGTCCCCCCCCACAGTCACATCAGTCTCTGTACAGAGGAGCTTACACTCTAATGTCCCCCCCCACAGTCACATCAGTCTCTGTACAGAGGAGCTTACACTCTAATG